ATGATGTACAGACATGCCAAATCTTTATAGTTAATTCTACATGTCTTTTTCCTTCTCATTCATTTCCTTCAAAATTAGAAAGTACTAAGATTTAAATACTTAAAATTTTTTTCTGTGTGTGATATTGGTGACAGTTAATCCCTTTTAAATGCCGTTTAGCATCTCTCACTTAGCTGCAGTATTGTATCTGGGGTTAGAAATGCCAACCTACTGTTAAGCTGCCTCTTCAGCTCATTTTGAAGGTAATTCTAAGGAAGGGACCATAATAATCTCCTCTTAAGAAAGTATTGTTTCCATGGAGCTCTTTTATTTAGAGCATGCACTGTGCTCCCTTGTTGTTGATTACTGGTTTATTTATTCTCCTTGGCATGCATATATATATATATATATATATTGCCTTTTGCAATACTTTATTTCAAAATATTGATAAATATGTAAGAATATTTGGACCAGCTGTATAATCAAAGCATTAATTACAGAAAGACACAATTCTATCCCCATTAAGCATTCAGTAATTCATTTAGAAGTTTCAATTTCCAGGATCTCTGGCAAATGAAGAAATGAATGAGTATGTAAGTGAAAATTCAAATAAACCATGGATGGTTGAAAAATCCAGAAGACAAAGTACACATGTACAGATTGGGTTCTTTCTATGTTGCCACAGTGGAGTAGATTAACTGCAAAGTGCAAGTAAATAGTGACTTTTTCACAAGTTGAAACTTCTACAATATCCATGCTAAATGCTTCATATAATCTATTGTGACCTCATTATATTGGTGTAATATGCAAACCCAGCAAAACAGATTTAGACCACAATTCTGGCTGATCTAAATTCTGCTGCCTAAGATGAAAGGATCTTAATGACAATAACAACAAAAAATATTGAGCAAGAATCAATTCAGCACTGGGACTTCCATATTGTTGGTCCCAAAAGCACTACTCAGAATTCCAAGGCATCTTCCAAAGGGAGACACAAAGTGATAAGAAGCATTTTTGATTGATCAGAGCATACAGAGAAAATAATGTACTTACATTTCTATATAGTTGGGGGAATCGAGATCCCAAGCAGAATATAAGACATATAGCCTCAAATAAAGCCTGACATTTTAATTATGCCAAGGGTATCCTAAAAGCAGCAACACAGAAAGAATGACAGTATTAAGGAGCAATCTAAACATACATTAGGATCTAAATATTTTAAGGGAAACTAGGGGTCATTAGAAAAAACTGGGATGAAGTTTTTGTTTTTTGTTTTCCTGTGTCTTTATTATTTTGGAGACCAATGGATATTAAGCATCTTTTTCTAGGATTGGTAGTATACCTAATCAGGTAGCAAAATCACTTATCTATGTACTCAGATATGCTATGTTATTTTGATAACAGCAATTTAAAAATTTTTTTGAGACAACTTCAATATAGGTTTATTTACCTGATTTTCATCTGATTTCTGATTCAGCCCCACAGAACCCCTCCTCTGACTGCAGGAGAATATAAATTATCTGCCTGTAGGAGGGCTACCTTGGCAGATTCACTGGCAGAATGGGTCTCCACAGTCTGGGTCAGGCCTCCCTGCCCACCAGCCTCCATCCATGCAGGGAGAAGATGCTGTCTGGATTTTTATGTGTCAGGATCTCATTGAGCCCAGATCAATTCTAGTTCACTAAAGTGTACTACCTGTGAAATTCCAAAGGCTTGAAGTTTATTATATGTATTTCCAAAAGTTAATAAAAATTCTTTCTTGAATTTTTTATTGGAAAAACATGGAGGGAAGTTGGGATCACTTCCCAGCACCCTTTCATTTCTTTTTCAAAATAAAATATTTCCTGGACTAACTTTAGCACATCTACAATATCTTTGTGGAGATGATAAAGTTAACAACAATAAAAAACTCTGCAAAAATATTTCTAATATGGCCCTAAAAGAATTTATGGCCTTTTCAAATGGAGATTACCCTTTTCACTTCTGTTGAAATCCCATGTTGATTGTTCATCAATAATACACTTGGCATTGCCACTGACAGCACAATGCACATTGGTACCCAGATCACACATCACAGTTCTGCAGCTTCTACTCCCTGGTGCTTAAAAACAAACAAACAAGGCAATGATGAACAAATGCCACAGGCTACTTAGCTGATATCCAATAGCACGCTACAGCAAAACATCACTTAGCTGGTATTTAATTACTACAACTAAACATCATTTATCTGGCATTTAATCGTCAGAATACTTGAGTTTCTGGAATCATTCCATAGTGAAAGATATTCTGGGAAAAGAAATGATGCCTTTAGAACTCAGTATCAATTCAAGAGCACCTGAAAACAGGACAGACATAGGTAGCACCTGATGGACTGTTGTGATTGGTTGGATCAATTATGGGAAAGGAAAGTGCTGATTTAATTGCCCAGGTACATATTTGCAAGCTCAATGCATCCACACTAATGTGGACAGGCCTTGAGAGGGGACTGGGGACAGCAGACATGGAAGAACACTACAGAGATTAAGTAGGAAGATAGTTCAGAATAGGATCAGAGGAGATTAAAAGTGGTGTTAGTAGCAGTAGTCACCAACAGAAATTAAAAGCAGCAACAGACAGTGTGATCCAGGCCTCTGAGATATGGAAAAAGGCATAAAAAGCTCTGAGCTTGAGACATAAAAGCAAAGTGACTATGAGAAATGCAGGCACCACTGAAACATGCCAAGAAGGGGTCCTGAGATAGGGAAATAAGAGTCATTTAATCAACAAACTCCTACTAAACACCTACCTTTCTATGAACGAGGAATACAAAACTGAATAATTCATGCCCCCACTCCAAGAGGCTGTAAATTAAGTTATTACATCCTGGGTACCACATCTCATATCTGCATCTAGATCAAAGTTTAAGTCAGCAGAATCAGTGAAGGTACATTTAGGAAAGCTCTTCAAGGAAAAAATCAAAAAGTAGTTGGTCCATAAACTGTTAACTATACGGAGCAGATTTACTCATTCTCTGTGGGCACTGGCTGGCTATGTTCTTACTCTACCAGATACTAATAAAAGCTTGAAAACTTCCAGGAGTAGTAATCAAATTGAACACTCTTGTTTAGGGAGCTAGGAAATACTGGGATGTAGAATCTTAGTGAATGTGAAAGTCAAAGCCAAAATAACCTCTATATTCTAATTTTAATTTTTTAGTTGTGTTACATCTGCATTAGGGTCAGCATCAGCAGACATCAGACACACAGACATCTGAGTGCAAGATTGTGGGTAAACCATTCCCACTTGTTTAACATTAAAACTGATGAAGCATTTATTTAAAAATATTTGTGGGGCTATAACTGCAAAGGTAGAACTCATGGTTTCTTACATATTACAACCACATGTTAAGACAATAGACTTTAATAAAAAATTGCCTTCAAACACATTTTGTATTTGAGGGATTTGCTTCATTCCTCAATACTCCAGGTTACAGAGACCATCAAACACACGTTCCTTTGCAAACTTAATTTTTGTTTTGAACTCTGCATTGACCCCAAGTTTAACAGCATTCCAAATTCAGTCTACTTTGTCCACATAAGATATTGCAGCTAAGCAAAACACTGTTCCAGAAATCTCATAAATTATATGAGCTGCTCAATTTAGGCCTGAGGGGGTAAATTAAAGAGAGCTGGCCTGTCATACTGTTTTAGACTATTTGCCACAGAAAGTCAGAATTAGTTCTGGTTTGATTGAAATACTTACGATGGTGACTATATATATATCCTATTATTTTAGCAACCTTTTACAAGTAGTCCCTTTACATTAGTTCTTGATGCCAGAATTTATTTAATGTACTTAAAGTGGGTTTGGTGGTGGGGGTGAGGAGACACTGGGGAGAAAATTGATTGGGTGCCCTGTAAGTACCATGCTTTACTGGAGACTTTCATGTATTTTATAATTCATCCTTCCACCACTATTCACTAAATGCCTGCTATGTGCTAAGTGCTCAGGACTCAGTATTAACAAGACAGAGACAGTCCCTATCCATACGAAGCTATGATTCAACACCAATTAAACTATGAATCAGCCTGATTAATACCTGACATCACCTTATGTTGATTTTGAAATCTAATGCCTCTACTCATTAGCTATGTGAGCTTCATCCAATTTATTGATGCCTTAGTTTCTTCATCTGTAAAATGGAGATTACTATGGGGAGTGAGAGTAGAAAGCACATATTAAAGGCCTTGCACATTACCTGGTACACACCTGGGAGTCATCTCCCTGCTTTCCTCACAATAACACTCAGTGGGATTTGGAGCTGATTTTATAGATCTGAGTAGCTGTTCCTGCCCTTGTAATAGTTACAGCCAACAGAGGGCAGTAGGGTAAATGTACCCCACAGTCCCAAGGACAGAAACAGGGCTACTGTCGTTGGTAAACAGCTAAAACCAAATTTCATTGTTGTACTGTCTCGAAAATACACAAATGATGAATCAAACAAGTAGTCATTTTAAAAAAACAGCAAAGTGAAAGTAAAAATAATAGTATTCAGTTCTTCAGTAAATATATGTTGAGGGCCTATTCTGTGCCAACCTCTGAACATAAAAATAGTACCTGCCCCATTGGCTGGTATAAAGATTAAATGAGTTCCAAAAGGACTGACAAGCATTAAGCACCCAGGAACTATATGTGGTTATTATTCTGTGGAGGACATATTTTTAGATTGACCACAAGAAAAAAAGTGGTATTGTTTATCACCTACAGAAACATCTAAAAGTGGTTGGCTTTTCCCACCAATCTCTCCCTTACTCAGAGACACTAAAATTTTTCTGATTTATCATTTCTGTTCATTTTCCAATCACACAGACCAATTGAAATAAAAGATATTAACTTGGAATCTAAATGTGCCACAAATGTTATGTCTTATCAAAGTATGCCTTACCTCACTGAAAACAACTCTAAAATGTTCTATTGGTTTTTAAATGAGAAAATGTTCTATTACAAATAGAAGTGTGAGAATGAACTGTTACCAATCTTACATTTTTTTCTTCTGATTCTTTAACTTATAGTATGCAAATTGTGAGAGCATGATTGTATCCATGCTCATGTGAAGGATGGCTGCAAAAATCTGGAGTGGTAAATAAGCATAGACATCTATGAATGTAAAATCCAAAGCCACCATTATCCAGTATCTATAATGTGGTATATGAAGGTCATCTACATGATTAAATACATTAACAAGAAAGTCTGAAAGCTTACAAATCTTCCGCTTTAATTTTTTTCCATTTGAATACTGCTTTAGAAATGTTTGCCTGTAGCCACTGACTATATTTTCAGTGATTACTTTGATTGTGGACTGCGTGTCAGCATCTTTGAATCATTGTTCAGCTTCAGTATAGAAAAGAATAGGATGTCCCCTAATGGTAACATCATGTTCAGCTACCTTGAAGCAATAGAATATTAAAACTGGATGAAGATAAGAAATTTAAAAAGAATATCAGAAAACAGGTCTCTAAACAGCTCTAAACAAGTTGCCACATTAAGAACATTGCCATATAAAATACAGAATCCCCATGCAATATTCAGGGCATGCTTATACTAAAAAAAATTCATTAAGCAATCCGAAATCCAAATTTAACTGGGTGTTCTGTATTTTTATTTGCTAAATTTGGCAACTCTACACATGAAGCTGTCCGTGAACACATAACACAGAATCTTCACTCTTCTGAAGATAAATCTGGAGGGGGGTTTACCTGAATAGGCAGTTGGTTAGTCAGGTAGCCGCCTATGGACTTTGTCAGGTCCCCACCTATTCCAGCACAGCAGAAACCCCTGTGAGACTGCTTCACCTACTTTCCAATTTTTGTGGGCCACATAGAGCCGACTGGAAAGTGAAAATTGACAAACACTTGGAGCACAGAACTTAATGAGACAACTCAATACCAAATACGAACAAAACTGATGATGTACAGCGATAAAACACCTCACTAACTCCCAGTGAGGGTTCTAGGACTGTTTTTTAACCCATCTTCACTCACAGCAAGCATCAAACATATCTAAGATCTAACTCAGTGGCAGTTCTAAAAAACTAATCTGCCTCTTTTCTCTGCCTTTTCTTTTAACATTTTTATGGAAATTCATATATATGTCCTAAGTACATGTTTTCTTGGCCTCATAATGGGGAAGATATTAAGTCAGGTAATTAGAGAGACAAGATATATCCCTAAAACATAAATAAGACAAGAGGTTCAAAATTTTTATTAGTGATTAGATTTTAAGCCAGCACCTTTTTTTTTCTTTTAAATTCACTTCTAAGCAAATTGTTTATATGCATTAGTACAAACAGAGATATGAATGTGAAGATCTATTTATTTGACCCCCTAACAAAGCCACAATGCCACCTGTTGTGTGGAATATTTTACAAAAAACAAACAAACAAACAAAAATCCTGGACTTTGAGGGCCAAAAGACCT